AAAATAAATGAACAAAGCGACTTCCGGTAAAAATAACCGCCATAATAGGATACCCACAATGCACCACTAACCCGTATATATATAAATAGCCGAGAAAAATAACAGCACACGTGGCCTGACGATTGCATACAGCATGAAACAGACTGTCGCCTCTAAGTGTTGACTTCTATGTTCACTTTTATATTTATATATCTCTTACATTAAGATATCTAAGATATTTACCCATTCAGTTATATATATAGTTTGGTTAAATAATTTAAACATATTATGAAGTCTATTTATTTTAGTTTTTATAAAAAAATACAAGTTACCTCCCTTGCATAGTGGTGAAAAAGTATTTTGAATTTATGGTGTTAACGCATAAAGAAGATGGTCTCAGATGAGTCTGAAAATACTTGGGAAAATAAAAATTATTTGAAAGGAAATTTTGGAATTTTTCTTGATCAATTTTCTACAGCCACCAAGAGATTAATTTGTGGACTTGAAAGGATTAAAACTAAAATAAATAGACATAATACATCTAAATTATTTTACCAAACATGCTTGAATGCAAATATAGTGCCTATATATATATATATATATATATATATATATTAGTAGGATTATATCATGTTTCTTTTAATCATACAAATTTGGGGTTTGCTTGTTAAAGTGGATCTGCCCACTTTTGTAAGATGCAGGGTAGTAAGCAGAAAAGACATTGCTATACTCAGTAGGAAACCAGATTACAAATTATAGCAGTCATTATTTGATCCAACCAGGTGACTTAATTTTAGGAATAATTATCATTTCAGTAACAATGAACAGAATAGTCATTGGTTTGGATGCAATCATAAACGGTAAACTGATTCCTTCTTTACTTTTCTTCTTTTAAACTTTGTTATTATGAAATAATATATCTAGTCTGGTGCTCCTACTATATTTTGTGAGATTCTTGATAAAATCTAAAGAAGCATCTGCAATGTTATTGTTCCTGACCTGTTATCTCGGCTTCCTTCCCTTTCCCATCACTGTAACGTAGCTTCCCTGAGCCTTTTCTAGACATATTTTCTTGGGGACTGTTCTGATGAGTTTAAAAAAATGGTGAAGCACCCTGTATCTCTCTCTCTCTCTATATATATATATATATATATATATATATATATATATATATATATATATATATGTATATATATTGATAGTTTTCCTTCACAGAAGCTATCTTACACATTTATAAGTCTATCATTCCTTCATGCATTGAATATTTTTACAACAGCTGATTTGGTGTTTCTAATATGTATTTAGAGATTCTTGATAAAATGAAAGTATCTGCAATGTTATTGTTCCTGACCTGGCATCTTGGCTTCGCTCCCTTTCCCATTGCCGTAACGTAGCTTCCCTGTGTCTTTTCTATAAATACTTCCATTGTAATTGTTCTGATAAACTTTCCTGTATGGTATCTAGACTTTATGAATTTAATTGCAGTACTAAATTGACAGCAATGTTTTATCATTTTACAGTTGAATTGGCTTGATGTAGCTATAACAGTTTCTTGCACTTCTCACTTGTGGAACTCTCTTCTAGTTTCTTGATTCTCAATCAACTTTGTTCTTCAAAATGCAATGTCAATCATTATCTTCTCCCTTCTTAATTGCTGTTCTTTTATTGTTCTCTCTCCTTAATAGTAGTTTTTATCATTCCCTAATACTCATCTTAGTGGCTTTATTGCCTTGCTTGGAGTAAAATGATTTTTAAAAAAAATGAAATTATATTTAACCCTGCCTAGGGTGTGGGAGCACCCACCACTTTCAATCGATAGTGCTCATTTTGTTGTTGAGGTTTTGATTTTTGAAACTGCAAATATGTTGCTAAAAAATAGATTGTCATGCAAAAATAAAGAATAAAGTCATACATTAGAAATACAATCATGTACCAATATTTGACGAGAATATTTGACGAGAAAACATCAAATTTAAGTCATGTTTTAATAATAATGCTAATGTCAGTAAAATTGCAAAAAAGCAGGAAAATATGATTGTTTTATGTACATGTCCACAAACTATTTAAAAATAAAATTTCAACACCATGTCTCATGGCAAAATATAAAATTTCAGCTGAAAATTATGTACAAGTAATGATCATCAAAAGTCAAAATGATGTCACTAGTTCCAGACACAGTCAAAATTTAAAATCCATATAATATCAAAACTCCAATTTTGTATGTATGTGTGTATGTTCCTGAGATACAACTTAAATGATACATAATACCGCCAACCAAATTAGTAGCATATTGTACCTTGAACTTCTGTCAAGTGCAGTGCTAAATTTCATTAAAATTAAACAATGGGTTCCTTGATCTTGGGTCATTTTTCTGCTTTTATGGCATTTTTAATAGCAATTTCAGTATTTGTTTTCAATACATATTCTTATATCAACCTGCATATATTAACAAACACTTGCATATTATATTCCAACTATTCTTTGTGTGCAAAATAATAAAAACATTCATAATACATTATAACATTATCAAATAAATATAAATATGCATAACACAACATAGATCTATACAATTCACTACACTACATTAGAACTTTTTTTTTTTATAAACAATCATGTCCAACTAGTATTATATGGTCCCACATGACATAACAAGCTGAATTCTAACAGGCCAATATTGTAAACAAAAAACTAAAAAAAACAAAGTGGAGAAAATTAGTAATCTAAAAGGGAGGTAACTTTAAAAATTGAACACTTAGAATGTAAATTAACAACATACAATTACATATAATTTATCAGACATTATTTCAATTCCTTATATTTACACCTATTTTTTTTTTTTTACTAATCCATGAATTATAAACTGCTATGAGTTACCTCGCTTTCATGTTTTCAATTGCATATACGGCCCATTTTGCAAATGAACGCTGTTAGGTAAATCTTCTACCTCATAGTCCTTTGAATTTAAAGATTAAATTATAAAGTATGTTGTAATATTTTGTTTAACAAAAATGGTTAACAAATGTGTTGCATTTGGCTGTTCTAGTGGATATATTACTAACAGTGAACAAGTATCGCCATTTTCTTTTCCTCTTGGAAAATCCACCCTTGTTGAAAAATAGAGAAACTTCATTAATCATACTGATTGGTTTCCTATGAAAAATTCATTTCACTATATGAAACATTTTGAAAAGAAATTTATTTTGGAAGGAAAACAAAACAAACTGAATTGGGATTTACATCCAATACCTACAATACAAAAAAAAAAAAAAAAAAAAAAGAGATCCATCTCTTTTGCCAAATACAAGGGAATTCAGAAAGCCCCCAAAACAATGACTGGTCCAAACTAATGAATTACATGATTTTATTTCAGTTGATATGATAAAGGATTTTACTCAATTAAAAGAAACAAAGTGTTGTCCTAATGGTTTTGAATTTAAAAAAAAAGAAAAAAAGAAAAAAAAAGGAAGACTATATTCTAATTTATAGAATAGTCTTTGACCATGAAACATTTTTATTCTATAAAAGAATGTATTTGCATTGACCAAAACATATAAGAGTGAATTTTTACATTTTTATTTTGTTCTTGAGAATTGACAACAAAAATATTAAATACTATTCATTTATTAGATTGTTTATTGACAAGAATAATTTTATATTTACAACATTCTAAAAACTAATACAATTAAAACTAATGCAATGCAATATTTATCATTTACCAATTTATAAAGAAATAAATATGAAAACATATTTTTATTCATATATTTATAGACATTTACTAAATTAGTAAAATATGTGAACCAATTATAAATAAATCCTTATTTTCCATTTTATAAAGTTTGAATCAATTGGCAATTAGCCAATGTTTTGCCAACCATTCCTATAAACAATCTAATAAACAAATAGTGCTTATTAGTTTTGTTGTCAATTCTCAAGAACAAAGAAAATATATTCACTTTCATATGTTAAGATTTTACTACAAGTCTAGTCATCACTTTTTAAAACAATAAACACTGCTGAGGAGTGAAGGTAGTTAAAATAATAGTGGTGTCAAGGAAAATTCCCTCCTTTTGAGACATTGCTCATTTGCAGGCACAAAGGTTCAAGTTTGCTGAATTATTTTAGCACTTCATCAATTTTTAGGAATTTTTTGAATAATGCAGAAAATAGAGTAATATATTTTCAATCTAATTTATAAAATATAAATTACAATAAATGAAAATAATTTGTCTATGTTTATACTTTTTAATTGGTCATATTTAAAATATTAATTCAAAGGTTCAGAAAATAAGTTGCTCAATAAATACTTAATTTTATGCTAAAATAAACATCAAAAGTCGACAAATTAGAATTCTTGGATTTGGTTTCAGATGTTTTTTTTGATTCCATTTTTTTTTAGACATTTAGTTTAAGTAAATTTATAGACCAATAAATTATGGTTTAAAACATATTTGAAAACAAATCAGAGAACTCGAATGGTAGATCCCCAAATTAATGAAGGTAAATTCAACGCATGCCGGATCAAAGCAGTTGCTGGAACCTCAACAGGGAGCAGGATTAGAGAGGTACAACCGTATTACATTATAAATATATTTTGCGATAATGGCAAAGTGAGAAAATAAAAATCTAATCTCTTTGTGTGTGCCAAGAAAGTGCTACCTATTTACATAAACCTTGATAGGATAGGTTAAATTTATGTTCATTCTTATGACTCCTTATATGGTAACATACTAAATTCCATGGGTACAGGAAGAACTTCATGCTAATATAAATTTGACTGCAAAAGTTTAAATGTTTTATCATGGTGCCAGCTTTTGCATGGTACATATGTTAAATTTTAGCAGGAATTTCATGAAGTGTACCTGGTGAAGTCAATAAGCCTGTTACCTAATAACGAAAATAACATTTACTTTGCAAATAATTTTTAAACATGATTTCCATCTTTGTCAATTCAGTCAGAAATACTAATCACATTCATTATACATAAAAAATTTCAGATCAAAATTCAACTAATAACAGCTTATAGCCATATCACATTCAAACACTAGTTCTCATATGATCCCTGAATTAAAGCTGCATCAAGCTTGGTCAGTACCTAGATAGGTGACCCCCTGGAAATACCAGATGCTGTAAGCTTCTTGTATGTGTGAGTGGTGTAATGGATAATGGCTTGGAATTGGCAATCAAAGAGTCAAGTTCCAATTCCAGTCAGGTTTGTTATATTCAATATTGTACAAATACCTTTGGGAAAGTTATGAATCCACTCCATCTCCCCCCAGCTATAGGTTAATTACTAGGACCTGTATCAATAAATGATTCTTATCTCCAAAAATCTCTTATGATTTAAAAATGTTTTCTAACTTTATATAACCTGCAAAGGGTTGATAAGCTGTAAAAAAAAAATATCAATTAATCAACTAATGTTTGGCTACACAGACTTGAGTTTGTTTAAATTTGATAAAATTTATGAATAAGTTTAAGTGGGAAAGAGTTAATAATATTCAGTTAAATCTTATTCTAAAAAAAAAAGTAAAATCCCCCACTTTTGTAAATCTTTGAAGATGTTTTATCAATACTCAGGGCAATACATAAATTTCTTTATATTTTTCATGGAAATTTATTTGTTTGTTTTCTTGCAAAATATTATTTTAAGATATCAATCATAATTCTCACAGAATGTTTGTACATGTACATATACATATCAGGTATGTGTGTGTGTGTGTGTGTGTGAACATTCAAAATTACCATCTTCTTTTTACCCCTGAATATACAACAGAAAACTGATCCTCCACCCCTAATATTGCAAAATTAGAAAGAGACAGTTGAAATTTTGGGGACATATTAATGAAGAAAGAGTAGAGAGAAACAATGAGTAAGTTACCTGTTGTAATGTAAGCAAAGCGTGTGTAGAGATTGAGGCAAAACCAATTTGCTCTCCCACAAACTATCTGGGTAATAGGCAGAGAGGGGGGGAAGTGATGGGGGTAGTAACAAAAATTACACTGCCTCGGAAAACACAACAACTTTAGAAACAAAGTGCACACAAGATTGACTTACAAGACAACGTACCTTGCTATCTGCTGGTTTTCCAATTGTTTTCATTAGTATCTATTATTATTAGGCATCTTACAAAGATCTGGATCTTAACGAGTTGTAAAGAGGCCTGTATCAAGACATGCCAAGCTGTCCCGATGCTACCAGGGAAAACCAGAATGTAACTGGTGTTGATAAACATGTCCACACACAGTCTGGGGCCTCTTTTGCATCTGTACCAACATGCATTTGCCAAACTAATGAATTTGTGTGAATGAGGAATGGTAACTGTACCAACATGCATTTGCCAAACTAATGAAGTTGTGTGAATGAGGAATGGTAAAGTGTTAAACATTACTTTCAGCTACAAGGACAAGAAGTTGTGAAGAGCCATGATCCTAAAGAAATGCAGCAAACAAATGCTGATGAATAATGATACAAAATGTGAAAATGCCTTAGGTATTTCTAGCTATTGAAAAGTAAGAATCATGACAATAAAAATGAAAGTAGCTAGTAGACATTCAATTTGCATGAGATAAAATAAGGACCCATTAGAGATGGTAAACGAGCTAATCACATGACAGATTGTATCATTTTTTTTTTTTCATGGTTCACAACTATCATGAAACAGATGAAGAAAGTTCCAGGTGAGAGGCACAGATCAAAGAGATTAATATTTGTTGCACAGGAAGTAATGGAAGTCAAGTAATACTGACAAACAAAATCGTAACAAAAGGGGGGGAAAAAGCATAGCTTTCTTTTCTTCATGGAATGCTTCACTGACTGAGACATAAAGAACAATAAAGATTTTCATTTCTTATACAAAAAAAAAAAAAAAAAAAAAAAACATTTATCCTGTCTTTCTCTCTCCGGTATTTTAAGTATAAATTTTGATGGTTGAAATGGAAATTATCTTACAGATTATCAAAAGTCAACAAACATAGGATTTAGGTCACTTATTCAAAATACAAGGTCACAAGACTAGAAAACAAAAAAAATGTTCTATCATATTATCTTAGATTTCTGTTAAATGAAGCATTGTCAACCATTAATTTTCTAATAGAAAACAGATTCCATTAGAATCTATCTTACATATCTATTAGTCTACCATTTGTCCATGCTTAGAATATTGCTGCCAGATATGATCTGGTGCCCCTTGAGCTCTTTGATAAAATCCAAAGAAGAATCAGCAATATTATTGGTTCTGATCTGGCAGTTCAGCTTCAGTCACTTTTCCACCACAATAAGGTTGCCTCACTTTGCCTTTTCTCTAAATACTTTCATTGTAACTGTTCAGATGAGCTCTTCACTATGATACTTAGACTATTTGAATTTAAGCACAGTACTAGACTGATGTCAAGATCTCATCAATTTACAGTTGAGCTGGTTAGATGTAGACATAAGTTCTATGTAAACAGTTTCTTTTCTCACACTTCTTGCTTGTGGAACTCCCTTCCTGCTCTATACTTTCCAGCCAACTTTAATTTGCAAAAATTTACATGCAATGTCCTCCTGATTACTCTTTTCTCTTCCCGCTCATTATTAACATTTCTGTTCCTAATTCTTCCACACCCAGTAACCCATTGCGTCTTAGTGGCTTTACTTGCCTTGCATGGGGATGATACTGTTTAAAAAAAAAAAAAAAATTTTTGTTAATGTTGATTTTAATTGCTTTTTCACACAACTGTTTCGACCATCAATCTATGTATAAATTTTAGGAAGCAAAGCGTAATAATATTTCTCTGCAATTTTATTATTAGATGAAACAATGTTATCCTTTATTAATTCTTGAAAAATATGTCTTTTCTCTTAGAATGGAAAGCAATTTAACTACTTGGAGCATCAATATATGGCTGTCAATAAACTACTCTGGAAATAAAAAAATAAATAAACACATGTTGTGATTCAAGCTCATATCCCTTTTACTTTAGAAAGTCTATTTTCTATGAGAGCTCCCTAAAGAACAGTCAATTCTAACGTTGGGAATAAGCTTAAAAAGGTTCAATATGATCATTTTATTTTTACTAGTAATTCACTCAATACAAGTTTCAAGCTCTGAGCAAGGTAAACGGTTACTGAGGAAGATAATCAGGAAGGGGGAAGTAAGAGTATTAGGAGGATGAGTTATCCCACTCATCCTCATCAGATGATCAAGACTGTAGTTGTTAGGGAAGCATTCTCTCAGGAGTTTGTTCCACAAAGTAACAGTTATGGGGAGGAAATTGTTTGAGTGGAACCTGCTTTTTATCATTTACTAAGTAAAAAGATACATATAAATAAATTATCTTTTGACAAGGTATTATTTGAGATCCTCTCCTGACTCTTAGAATATTTCAGCCAGGTGATGAGGGTTATATCTCAGATCCTATCCCACAGCTTAGAGGCACAATACTTTCCTTAACACATGAACTGTTCTAAGCAGCACTGCCACTTACAGGCTCCCAATTATGTCAGGTGTATTGAAAAGCAGAGAAATTGTGCTGACCACAAGATTATTACTATTATTATCTATCTGGGTTTATTCATTATCTATCTATTTATCTATCTATCGCGGTTTATTCATTATCTGATCAGTGACAGGCCAACTACCACATTATTATTATTATTAATTCTTTTGCACTACACTCTTTGTCTTAATGTTGGAATAAACATATTGTGATAACAACAACAAAGATAAGGATGCTCAGTTGCTAAATATAAATTAAGAATTTTATCATTGCAATACTTTCCAAGAGGAATTCAAGTTTTATCATTTTAAACTAATATTTGTTACAATGTTTCTTTATTACCATATCTTTATTACTAATTGAAAATATTTCAATGTTATTTTTTGGTGAAATTATTTTGGTAAACTTTAAATAAAAATAAATACTTCTTTTCAGAAAATATTTAAAGATGAGGTTTTAAATTATAATTTAAAAAAACAACCTGAAAGAGAAACAAATCTTTTTTTATTTAAACCAAAGAAATTGTTTTTGTTTTGTGAATTATCCCAAAAACAAATGACAAAATATTTCAACAATAAAATAATTTTATATCCTTTTTTGTAATTATTAGCCTTCCAAGACTTGTACCAATTATTGAACCCATTCTTTACATTGATTTAAGGCAATTCATTCTACAGGCTTTTTTCTTTTTAGAGGAATCATTAACATTCCAGTTGTTGTTCAAGATGACTGAATTCAGGCTTTAAAAACAAAAGCAACAAAAAGCTTAATAATCCAAATGACTCAATAATTCAAATTCAATCTCTTTACAATGTTAAATGATGTTTTTTGTTTTTTAATTGGTCGTACAAGATTGATTCTAGAAGTTAGGTCATTTTCATTTTTTATATAAGATTAAAATAGGTCTCTTTTTTTTTTTTTTAAACAAGAAATGTTTGCTGTATTTTTAACGGGAATATAATCTGCCCAAACCAAATAAAATATACCATAAGGATTTTAACACAATATATATATATATATATATATATATATATATATATATATATATATATATATATATATATATATATATATATATATGAATAAACACAAAAGTAAAACTTATTTTAGCCAAAGTTTTTATCTGCTGATGAACTGTATCAAGACAAATTTTCCTTTTGTCTTTACTCATATTGTCCTTTTACAAAAAATATTTTTAGAAATATACAAAATTTTTTTTACACACACAAGTGTGTGTGCAAATTATTTTCATATAGACTGTATCTGTAAAGGAACAAAATGAATAGAAAGACAAGAGGAAAAACTATTATTAGCTGACACATTTCATCCTTTGAGCGACTTTATCAAGACACCCTTGATAAAGAAGTCCCTCAGAGGACAAAATGTGTTCACTAAGAATAGTTTTTCCTTTTATATATATATATATATATATATATATATATATATATATATATATATATATACACACAGAGAGATAGAGGGGTTATGCTTCTTTCCTCTCTCTCAGATGTTCCTTGGAATTTCTAAGTAAGAAAAAGAATTTTTTCATTATACTAAGAATAATCCGCATATATAAATTGTAATATTTACATATTTTGTACATGTAACCTTTTTCTCCATTGCCAGAAGATGCTATGACATGATGGGCAATTTG